TCCCTGCTATCACTCATTACATTCCTTCAGCTGCAGAGTTAGACTGTGGTGGGTGGATGTTCTAATGGATCAAAATAATCTGGCTTTAACGCTGGCTTCTCTTCTTGCCAAACCACAGAAATGACTCCATCCCCATATTTAGCAACAACAAAGTACCATATATTAATACTGTATATGTAATGATGAGTGAAAGAAGAAAATGTTAATGTGTCCGTCCTTCAGCCCACCACCCACCGTCTTTTTCTTTAGAAAACAAAATATTCTAGAGAAGCCATGGGTCAGTGTAGACGGGGACCCTCTCTGAGGACGACGCATCTGTATTACCTTACTGTTAAAGTATTTAAAAGAACATGTCAGGTTATGAAACACCCCTCATCCTCTCACAACAGACCTCAGGGAACTTTCCTCCGAAAACTGAGGATGCGCTTAAATCACTGATTTTGAACTTCACAGATATTAGTTTTTTTTTTTTGTTCACGTGTTTGGATCAAGCAAACAGATGATTAACGCTGCCCCACTTGTCCCCTCAGGTGCTGATCATCTTCTCAGATGGACTGGATGAAGACGTGATGAGACTGGAACAGGAGTCGGAGCTCCTGCGGAAGTCCAGTAAGAAAATAAACAAAAATAAAGTCTGCTCTGATGAAATCCAGAACTGATGAATATCAGGATGACGGAGTGTCCTCCACGTCTCCCGTCTCTTTCTTGTGTGGGTAGATATCAACGCTCTGCTGGTGGTGGCTCTAGAGGGCGCTCGTAACCCCGCCGAGCTGCAGATGGTGGAGTTTGGACGTGGCTTTGGCTACAAACTCCCGCTGAGCATCGGCATGCCGAGTGTGGGCAGCACCATCCTCAAACAGATTGTAAGTGCTTCCTGTCACCGGTCTCTGACAAAACCCAGAGCTGTCCACTCACATCTTAAAACAGGACTCCATCTCAACAGGATTTCTTCTCAACGTCCTCAGTTTTTACCAATGGTCAAATGGAGCACAGTCTTCTCACCAATATACAAAACCTTACCAACAGGTGGCACTATATCAGAACAAGGCGCAGGTTTTATTTTCCACACTGGTATCTGCTGAAGTGGACCAGGTTCACGTGACCTTAACTCAGAGGTCAGCAGAGTTTGACAAATGTCAATCTGGTTGAACTGTGAGTTTATCCATTCTAAATCACTCTGCTTAGGTGAGCTGTTTAGAAAACACTTGGGGGCGCTCTCTCAGGGCAGAAACAGTAGATAACTGTGTTAAAAACAGGACTCCATCTCAACAGGATTTCTTCTCAACATCCTCAGTTTTTACCAATGGTCAAATGGAGCACAGTCTTCTCACCAATATACAAAAACAGGTGGCACTATATCAGAACAAGGCGCAGGTTTTATTTTCCACACTGGTATCTGCTGAAGTGGACCAGGTTCACGTGACCTTAACTCAGAGGTCAGCAGAGTTTGACAAATGTCAATCTGGTTGAACTGTGAGTTTATCCATTCTAAATCACTCTGCTTAGGTGAGCTGTTAGAAAACACTTGGGGGCGCTCTCTCAGGGCAGGAGGTCACACTGTGTTAAACTGGTTTTCATCCCCGCACAAAGAAAGTTCTCGTTCCTGTCTCAAGGCGTCCACATACTGTAGACCAGAGACCGAGGAGGAGGACGAGGGAAAAATGGGGACTTTTTGTTTGTTTTTGTTTTTTTTATTTGAGAAGGAAAAACGTCAGAATTGAAACGCCGCCGTGCTGCGCCAGCTGAGTCACAGACTTTTATCTTGAAATAAAAACAAAATATGTTTAAACTTGAGGTTAATGAACCTCATCCGTCTGCAGGACGCCGTGTCGAACAGGGAATGCTGCAGCGTCATGTGCAAGTGCTCCGGACACGAAGGCGTCCACGGATCTCGCGGACACCCTGGATCAAAGGTCAGCAGAGGTCACCGATCCGGACGGTAGATAAGCTCAGAAACGTGGTTGTCGGCGTCGGCTGACATGTAGGAGACGAAACGCTTATGGAGTATTTTACGTTTTTGTTGACAGGGTGTGACGGGTCAGAAGGGATACCCAGGATTCCCTGGAGAGGAGGGCGTGGCTGTGAGTTTCAAAACGTTCCGACTTTAACCTGATGAAATAGAAACAGAAAAAAACCCAAGAATTTCACACACAGGGAGAACGAGGATTTCCAGGACCCAGTGGACCTCAGGGGCTGCAGGGCTGCTCCGGTAACAGAGGAACAAAGGTGTTTACACACACACTCACACACACACACACACACACACACTGATCAGGCCAGTCATGTGACCACTGCAGCACTTAAAGTCACTTTTTAATTTTTCTTTTGTGTTTGTTTTGACAGGGAAACCGAGGTCTGCGTGGCAACAGGGTGAGTGGAACAGGAAGTGATGTCATGATGCTGGGTTCTTTAATCCTAAAGAAAAGGTCATAAAATAATGTCTTTGTTCAGGGAGACGATGGAGAGGACGGACTGGACGGAGTGAACGGAGAACAGGTGAGAAAAGAGGAGACACCTACTGGATCAGAACCAGGTCATGGCCGCAGTTTGACCAGGAGGTGTCACTGCTGCTGTGATTTTATAATAAAGTATTATTATTAAAATGGACATCAGGAGTGTTGACTCTGGGTCTGGTGGATGAGATAAGACATGCAGCACCATACACTCCCAGTGAAGCGGACTGAGTGACTTACTCTGCCCTTAATTATTTAATTACATCGTTAACCAGTGTGTGAGTTTGAGCAGAGGATTATGGGAGTTTTACACTCTGTGTGTGTCTCTTTTTGCAGGGAATGACGGGAAAAGACGGCGTCGGAGGAGAGAGAGGACGAAGAGGAGACCCAGTAAAAACTGTTTTATTTTCAGATGTTTCAGCCGTGATTTTATGACTGAACGTCGTCAAACTCGACGATAATCAATATTTTTTTAGTTTTAAAATATTGACCTAATGCTTTCATTTTATTGGATGTTTATTGTTGATTGTTATATTTCTCCAAAACTGAATTTAAATGAACATTTTCATCAATGTTTGTTATTTCATTAATGTAAAACAATATATTCCACCAACACAATCATCTTTGATTGACATCTGTCTGAATGATTGACAGTGTGAGCTCTTTTCCTCAGGGAATTCCGGGAATCCGAGGAGAGGCGGGGCTGAAAGGACAGCGAGGACTGCGAGGTGATCCGGTGAGTCTGGATTCACTGTTTCAACTGCAGCTTCAGGTGGAAATTTAGTTTAGGTTCAACAGATTTATAAAAATAAACAGTTTGATTTATTAAACACTTCATTTATTTTATTGATTTTTTTATTTTGTTTAATTAGTTTATTTTATTTTAATATAAATGTTCAGTTGATCTTCCTGAGTTTCTGTGGTTTCTCCAAACTCAGACTGGTGTTAAATCCTAAACGTCAGTCCAATCATCGTTCTGATGTCAAAGGTCATCTGACCGGTCATCTGTCTGTGTTTCAGGGTGAACCTGGAGCCGACAAGAACAGCCCCGGAGCCAAGGGGGAATCTGGGAATCCTGGTCTACCTGTGAGAGAAACACTGACACCGTGAAACTTCTACTGTAGTTTTACTGTAGTTCTACTGTAGTTTTACTGTGTTTTACTGCCTGTAGTTTACTGTAGTTCAACTGTAGTTTAACTGTAGTTTCACTGTAGTTTTACTGTAGTTTTACTTCAGTTCAACTGTAGTTCAACTGTAGTTTCACTGTAGTTTTACTGTAGTTCAATTGTAGTTTCACTGTAGTTCCACTGTAGTTCAACTGTAGTTTTACTGCAGTTCAACTGTAGTCTACTGTAGTTTCACTGTAGTTTAACTGTAGTTTAACTGTAGTTTACGGTAGTTCAACTGTAGTTTAACTGTAGTTTATCGTAGTTTAAATGTAGTCTACCGTAGTTTAACTGTATTTTACCGTAGTTTACGGTAGTTCAACTGCAGTTCACCGTAGTTTACTGTAGTTTGTTGTAGTTTAACTGTAGTTTACTGTAGTTTATCGTAGTTTACCGTAGTTTACGGTAGTTCAACTGCAGTTCACCGTAGTTTACTGTAGTTTGTTGTAGTTTAACTGTAGTTTACCGTAGTTTAAATGTAGTTTATCGTAGTTTAACTGTATTTTATCGTAGTTTGCTGTAGTTTGTTGTAGTTTAACTGTAGTTTACCGTAGTTTAAATGTAGTTTATCGTAGTTTAACTGTATTTTATCGTAGTTTGCTGTAGTTTGTTGTAGTTTAACTGTAGTTTACCGTAGTTTATGGTAGTTCAACTGCAGTTCACCGTAGTTTGCTGTAGTTTAACTGTAGCTTATCGTAGTTTACTGTAGTTTATTGTAGTTTAACTGTAGTTTAACTGAAGTTCAACTGTAGTTTACTGTAGTTCAACCGTAGTTTTAGTTTCACTGTAGTTCAACTGTAGTTCAACTGTAGTTTTACTACAGTTCCACTGTAGTTCAACTGTAGTTTTACTGCAGTTCAACTGTAGTTTACTGTAGTTTCACTGTAGTTTAACTGTAGTTTAACTGTAGTTTAACTGTAGTTTAACTGTAGTTTAACTGTAGTTTAACTGTAGTTTAACTGTAGTTTAACTGTAGTTTAACTGTAGTTTAACTGTAGTTTAACTGTAGTTTAACTGTAGTTTAACTGTAGTTTATCGTAGTTTATCGTAGTTTAACTGTATTTTACCGTAGTTTGTTGTAGTTTAACTGTAGTTTGCTGTAGTTTACTGTAGTTTATCGTAGTTTACCGTAGTTTACGGTAGTTCAACTGCCGTTCACCGTAGTTTGCTGTAGTTTAACTGTAGTTTGTTGTAGTTTAACTGTAGTTTACCGTAGTTTAAATGTAGTTTATCGTAGTTTAACTGTATTTTATCGTAGTTTGCTGTAGTTTGTTGTAGTTTAACTGTAGTTTACCGTAGTTTAAATGTAGTTTATCGTAGTTTAACTGTATTTTATCGTAGTTTGCTGTAGTTTGTTGTAGTTTAACTGTAGTTTACCGTAGTTTACGGTAGTTCAACTGCAGTTCACCGTAGTTTGCTGTAGTTTAACTGTAGCTTATCGTAGTTTACTGTAGTTTATTGTAGTTTATTGTAGTTTAACTGTAGTTTAACTGCAGTTCAACTGTAGTTTACTGTAGTTCAACTGTAGTTCTACTGTAGTTCAACTGCAGTTTTACTGTAGTTCAACTGCAGTTCAACAGTTCTACTGTAGTTCAACTGTAGTTCATTTTGGATGACACAGTTTTTAATGTTACATTTTCTACACTGTTCTAAATATGTTTATTACTGTTGTTTTTCTATGTGTACAAATCATTCATTCTTACGCTCTCAAAACTGAATCCGTGTGTACTTGGAGTATTGACTTCTGCTGAGTCAGCAGTGCTGAGTCACTGACTGTGTGATTGTGTCGACTCGTCAGGGACCCCCTGGATCCAACGGTCAGCCTGGTGAGAGTGGAGTGGTGGGAAACCAAGTGAGTTTGTGGTCAATAATAATAATAATAATAATAATAATAATAATCAGGATGATGATGATTGATGATGGTGATCAATACTGATCAGTTTTAAAACAATGTCTGTGATGTCCAGGGTCCAGATGGAAGAAGAGGAGCAGCTGGAGAGAAGGTCAGAGGAGAAACCAGGTGATGTCCAGAGACGTCACGGCTGAATCAGGTGTAATGTGTGTGTGTGTGTGTGTGTGTCTGTCTGTCTGTCTGTCTGTCTGTCCAGGGCGCAGTTGGACCTCCTGGAGACAAAGGACAACCAGGCATTGATGGACCTTCTGGTTCTAGGGTGAGTCATCTTTAGCCACGCAGGAGAAAAGCTACCGTCATCTGCTAACGAGGGTAGCTAACATTCGCAGCAAACGTCAGTTTCTTACATTAAATGTTACTTGTTTATGCTACCATTGACCTAAAACATGAATCTAACGTTAGCCAATACGTTTCGAGCTACCATAAGTTGTTGCCTAACGTTAGCCAATACGTTTCGAGCTATAAGTTATTGGCGATAGCCAGATATGTGAGGTGAGATGTTATAACAAAGTATACTCTATTACATTAGCGCTCACGTTAGCTGCTAACGTTTGATTCCTGCGTGTTTACAGGGTCCCCAAGGTATTAGAGGTCAACCTGGACCCAAAGGAATATTTGGACTTCCTGGACCTCAGGTCAGCTCAGCAGCTTTTATTATTCTGCAGGTTTACAGTCATAGAGGTCAGAGGTCATGACTCAGCAGTTTGTCTCGGTAGTGTTCGATGGATGCTCAGATTTTTTTACTTAATTTTTTTACCAGGGAGCACCAGGAGCTCCAGGAGAAGTAGGAGGCGCAGGGAGACGAGGAGCTGTCGGACAGAAGGTGAGATGATCAGACCTCAGACTCGTCAGATGACGTCACAAACCCTGGTTATAAACAAGTCTGAGTGCAGCAGACTGGAATACAAAGGGGAATAAATGTTTTGTCCTCGTCGTTCAAGGGTCAACCAGGAGATCCTGGAGTCCAAGGAGGTCCAGGACAGCAGGGAGCCAGAGGACCTCCGGTACGTTCCTGAACTTCTGAGACTGAGGTCTACTGAGGGTCTGGAAAATAAGAAATGATCTCTGTGTCCTGTGTGTTCCCAGGGTCAGGATGGTCGAGACGGATATGGACCTCCAGGAGCCAAGGGAGCAAAGGTAGTCCGACCCTGACGAGTCCACAATGTTCAAATCCACCTTGGTGGTTCATCTGGCTAACTTCAGTTTGTTCATAACTGACAGGGAGATCATGGATTTCCTGGATATCCTGGTTTAGTGGTGAGTCAGGACCGAGGTCCGCCTCAGACGAGTCTGAAAGTCAGGACTCAAATCAACAACGTGGTTCTTTAAAAACCCTGAGAGTCAGGAAGTTGGTCTGACTCTGCTGCGTCTCTGGTCCTCAGGGTGAGACGGGTCCTGATGGATCTAAAGGATTTCCAGGACCTAAAGGGAACCGAGGTCGTAACGTAAGTGACCCCGCCCCCTGCCCCGCCCCCTCCGTGACATCACAGATGGATATGTTTAAAAATGAACCTCCTGGTCTTCTGATCCTCACAGGGAAACTCTGGTCCATCTGGAGAGACGGGACTTCCTGGAGCGGGGGGGAATCCTGGACACACGGTGAGTCATCGGTGACATCATCAGTGACATCATCAATATTATCATTATCTGTGCTGATTTATTATGAGCATCAACATTGTTGTTGTGATAAACACTGTGGGTAAGATCATCAATACCGTCATCAGGTCAGAGGTCACACAGGCTCCGCCCCCTGACCTCTGACCTTTATTGTAAAGTCAATGATTTAGATGACAAAAACCTTTAGCTGTTGTTTCAGCCGAGTCGTGATGTCATCACCTGATGCTGATCAAACCTTCTCCTCCTCAGGGATCCAGAGGTCCACCTGGAGTCAGAGGCATGACGGTCAGTGTACAGTCACGCTACAGCGCCTCCTGTTGACACATGACCCTGAGTCTGAGCTGATTTTATTTTTATTTTTTTCATCAGGAGTGTCAGCTGATCACTTACATCAGAGACAACTGTGGTGAGGGTCCAGACAGTGAGGTGTCAGCGCCCCCTACACTCATCACCCAAACCACAGGGGGCGCTGAAGTGTTTTTCTGTGCATTTGTGACTGAAGTACACCGGTGATCTGACTGTTTCTGTCGTGTGTCTCGTCCACAGCCTGTTCCTTCGGTAGGTTTCTCCACTTTAACCACAGCACAGTGAGGAAAGGTTACAGGGGTTCGGCTGCTTGATGACATCATCAGATTAAAACGGACCACCAGGGGGCCGAGCACACAAACCAAATGTCAAAGCTGCAACAAAAACATACTCAGATCTGTTGTTAAATGACATTGTTGTTGTTGTCGATGGTGTTGTCGTTGTCGTTGTTGTTGTTGTTGTTGTTGTTGTTGTTGTTGTTGTTGTTGTTGGTGTCGATGGCGTCGATGGTGTCGTGACCAGAGTCTTGTTTCGTCTCCGGTCTGTAGATCGGACCGACTGTCCCGCCTTCCCCACTGAGCTGGTGATTGGTCTGGACATGTCCGAGGACGTGGCGCCTGCTGTCTTTGAGAGGCAGCGCTCCGCCGCTCTGGCCCTGCTGGAGGACGTCGGCATTGCAGAGAGCAACTGTCCCACTGGAGCTCGTGTGGCCGTGGTGGGTTACAGCGCCTACACCAGGTACCTGGTCCGCTTCCAGGATTACCGTCATAAGAAGCAGCTGATAGAGTTTGTGAAGAACATCGCCCCGGAGAGGACGACCAACCAACGCCACCTAGCTGCCGCCATGCGTTTCGTGGCTCATAACGTCTTCAAACGTGTCCGATCGGGAATGATGATGAGGAAAGTCGCCGTCTTCTTTTCTAGCGGACCTTCGCAGGATGTGAGTGACCTGGTGACGGCCGTGATGGAGTACCGCGGCCTCAACATTGTTCCGGCCATCGTCTCCACCAGGAACGCTCCAGGAATGCGCAAAGCCATGGAGGTACGGAAGGTTCCACTGTTAGTCCATGGTTCTTGTGGTTCCACAGGCGTCACATTGTTCACAGTCGTTCCAACCACACAGACATTAGGAACATCTGCAGAACCAAACAGATGAGTCAGTGGTCAGGGTTTATCCCAGATATATTGTGTGTGTGCTTGTACCTGTGGGGCCTTCTGGATTCAGGATTAGATCCCAGTCTCCGTCCACAGCTGATGTTTCAAGCGATCTTCTCCCAGAACCTTGGTGTTCCTCATCCCCGCTCTGGAGAACCTTCATGTTGTTTGTTGTTTGTGTGTCTTCAGTTGGACGACTCGGGGAACTCCATCTTCACCGTGCTGGGCAGAGACATGGCCGCTGACCTGAGGAAGGTGAAGAACTGCGCCATCTGTTACGGTCAGTTCACCTGTGTCAGCGCCCCCTGGTGGTCCACGGTCCCTTCAGGACCTGGACCCTGGTGGTCCCGGCCAGCCTGTGGTCCCGAGGAGCAGAACCAGGAGCTAAATCTGTTTTGGTTTCGTTCTTTCAGACCCGTGCCGACGCTCGGAGGAGTGCGGCTTCATCCAGGGGACGGCGCCTCCTCAGGACGTGGACGTGGATCTGGCCATGGTCGTGGACAGCTCCAGGGAGGTGCAGGGAGACCAGTACACCGGCTTCCAGGAGCTGCTGGGTTCTATCGTGGAGCAGCTGGCCGTCAGCTCACAGCCGCGCCGCGCCGGCACCCAGGCCCGGGTCGCCGTAGTCCAGCAGAGCGGAACCAAGACTCCCAAAGTGGAGTTCAGTCTGCAGACCTACCAGGACCAGCAGGTGATGAGAACTCACCTCTTACAGAAGATGCACCAGCTGGGCGGAGCCTCGTATTTGGGGCTGACGCTGAACTACACCCTGACGGAGGTTCTGAAGAAGGCCACCAACGCCCGCAGGAAGAAGCTGCTGCTGGTGGTGGTTGGCACCCAGACGGCACACGAGGACCACGCCCTCCTGCAGTACGTCTCCAATAAGGTTAAGTGTGAGGGCGTGGCCGTGTTTGTGCTGACGGTGGGCGATCGCTACAGCCGCGTGCAGGTGGAGGAGTTGGCCAGTGTTCCTGTGCACCAGCACCTGATCCACCTGGACCGACTGAAGGCTGAAGAGCAGACGTACACCCAACGCTTCTTCCGAGTCTTCCTCAATGCTCTCAACAGTAAGAGAACGACTGTGAAGAACCGCTACAGCTGAACTCCATAGAGAAAATCAGTGATTTAACCTCAGGGACGCAGCAGCTGTTGGTCACCTCCTGACCACACAGTCCAGGTCGAAGGTGTTTTTTGGAACTGTTTGTTACCGTTTGTGATCCTTTTTTTCTTTTTTTTTTTAAATGTACGGTGACACAAACTGTCCACAGGAGGCAGCGGTGGACCAACAGCTGCTGTGTCCCTGTGAGCTGAAATCTCCAAAAACATGCACATTTAGTCTGTGATCAGTGAACTGATCCAGGGTCTGATGTTGAGGTCGTGTCACCGAGTCTCACTTCAGAGGAAGTGGAAACTTCACTCTGACTTTGAAGTTTAATGAACGTTTAATGAACGTTTTGTTTGGTTTGATTTCAGGGGGAGTGAACACGTATTCTACTGCATCAATAAAACAGGCCTGTGAAAGGGTGGAAGCTCAGGAACGAGAACAGAGCTCCACCTATAGGTGAGCAGGTCAAAAACATTCAGAGTCGAAGGTCGGCGGCTGTTTTATATTTGTTCGTTTTATTAACGATTATTGACAGACAATTTGAATCACGTTCAACTGAAGAGTTTGGTTCAAATCCCCGTGGCTGACGATCAGTGTCGTGATCTGTTTGTTTACAGTCAGAGTCAGGTGGGGCAGTGGGCGGAGCTAGAAACAGTGATGGCGGAGGAACCGAGGGAACAATTCCAGCAACAGACCAGAGGACGGACGCAGACGGGACAGATCGACGTGATGGACACACTACTGCCAGGAGACGCAGGATTCTCAGTGATGTGGGACAACGGTAACACACACACACACACACACACCCACACCCCAAACGCCCCCCCCCTTCAGTTTACAACTCATCGTCACAGACTAATGAAAGTCAATCATATGGTTCTCACCCACAGACGCAGAACAGTTTCTCAGCAGAACCGTTGAGAACAACTTCCCCTCCAAAGGTAAAAACTCATCATCAGTCACTTCCTGTCCTGTCGTCATTTCCTGTCCTGTCGTCACTTCCTGTCCTGCTGACGAAACAACTCCCAGTCCAGGGATTTAAAGCTGTGATGTCAGAGTGGTGACATCACAGCTCAACTTGTTGATGCCATCACTGTCTTGATTACATCATGATGTCATCACTATCATGATGTCATCACTATCATGATGTCATCGTGATAGGGATGACATCGCTCTTCAGTGGTGACATCACGGCTCAGTGATGACATCACAACTGCATGATGACATCAATCGCGGCCACATTAATGTCCAGACACTGTCCTGATTACATCATGATGTCATCATGATAGGGATGACATCACAGCTCAGTGGTGATATCACGGCTCAACAACTGCATGATGACATCAATCGCGGACACATTAATGTCCAGACAAGCAGTGATCTCCTGCTCCTCCTCCTGCTCCTCCTCCTCCTGCTCCTCCTGCTCCTCCTCCTCCTCCTTTCTGCTCCTCTTCTTCCACAGACTCCTTCTCTGATTTTTGTCTTCTGTCTCCTCTGTCTCCCCCCCGTCTCTCAGAGGCCTGTTTCCTGCGTCAGGACCCCGGAGGTTGTCAGAGCTACAACATGATGTGGTTCTTTGACCCAGAACAGAGTGAATGTTCGCGCTTCTGGTACGGAGGCTGCGGCGGAAATGGAAACAGATTCACGACGCAAGACGAGTGTGAGAGCCTGTGTCTGAGCAAAAGCCGGTGAGGTCAGCCCAAGGTCACTCTGAGGTCAGTTTGATGTCATCAGGTCACCATCACAGATACTCAAGGAAGGATTTCTTTCCAACACGGCCTCCACACCCTGATCATCTCTGTCACACTTCATCCATTCTACAGAAGAACTAGTCTATATCCCCTCACCATTAATCCAGGAAGTTAACGACAAACACTGTTACACAATCAAACATTTAAATCTTTTAGTATTTTTTTGTAAGAAACTATTTTTTGTTTATACATGTGTACAAAGTTTACTACACACTGAGAGGAAACAGTGGGGGAAGTGAAGACCCATCGCCTCATTACTGTTCCTGAACTGTACTGATAAAGAAAAACAAACCAGGAGAAAGAAAATTCAGAATGATACTTTACAGACCTGTGACTCCTGTGACCTTTAACCTGTGAATAAAAATCAAACATTTTTACAACAAACGGTCACGGTCGTTTTTTTTTTTTTTTCACATTTATTTAATAGAACAAACTGGTTTTTGCCGCAGCGGTCACGGTCGTTCATCAGCTAGGAACTGTTAGCTAACAGGTAGAAGTTAGCCGCATCATCAAGAGTCTGCTTGAACACAAAATTACAACTTTTTATGTTTTGCCACAAAATGTGACTTTTATACAACTGTTAGTGTGTGTTTGTGTGGTCGAGGTGTATCTTGTGGGGACCTTTTCTTTCTAAAAGCTTTGTTATGGGGACTCTTGTCCTCCTGGGGACATTTTTCATCAATCCTTTGTGAAAGAAAAAACATCAGTAATGGTCTGATTTTATCAGATTATTGTTTTATTTTTTGACAAACAGAAATGTTGACACTTATATTATTGAAGCTCAGACTTTTAAACAGCTTTAAATAAAAAACAAATACAAAAAACAATTGTTGAAACACAGATCAGGTTGGTATCATCAAAGTAGTGATGATGTCATCAGAGGTCATGTGAGTCGTAGATCACAATTTAAAGTCGTCTAAAAGTTCTCATTAATTGCCGACACGTTTTTTTTTACCGTTATTATAAAGCAATGACTGATGAGGTTTCCCATAGAGACAAGGGGCTGGGCTGTCAGCAGGGGGCAGCACTGACAACGACGAGTTTTCCTCCTCACTTCCATACTTTGACGATTCCATCTCTGGATGATGTGACGATAAAACCCTGCGTCGTCTGAAACGTGGCGATGTCGGTGATGATGTCATGATGCCCCACAGGCAGCGATTCTGGGCCGCGACGCGGCGAGTCCTCCACCACACCACTCTTCTGTTTACTGTGAATCTCCTGCACAAACAGACGTTAGCACAAGACGTTAGCTGCATATTAGTAAACGAGAGCTACAAAAACTGACGTCCTATTGCCTTTTTTACTATCGCATTAAAAATGACCAAAAACTGACTAAAGTTGTGTGAAGGAAAACTAGCGGAGTTAGCTTACAGTTAACTTAGTACCGGTCAAAACGTTCCAAATAAATGTACGTTTTTTTTTTTTCTCAATCACCTAAAAAAAAAGTTAAACTTAGCTAAAAGTTAATGCTAGAGAAAAACATTTTCAACAGTTTTTAGAGAGTATGACTGACATAAAAGATAACTAGATAGATTAGACTTTTTACTTGAGTCCAAGTCTCTGAGGACGAGTGTCAATCCTGTAGTCAAGTCTGAAAGGTTTCAGTCAAGTCTGAGATAATTATGTTTAGTCAGTGTCAAGTCCCCAGGGTTTTATGTCCAAGTCCTCTGTGCCCTAGTCCTGGACTGGAGGAACCTGACCTGAACCACTTCTGTGCCTTCGATGATCTTCCTGCTGTACAGAACGGACGGACAGTGCAGCGAGTCGTTAGCGCCGCCTGCTACGATATATGAGCGCTCAGGATAGGCCAAATCCCAGAACCTGGAAACCACAGCACAGTGTTAGCGTTTAGCATGTTTGGCATGGGTCACAGGAAAATACAAGTCATTAAAACAAGTCACTATATCCAGGTTAATGCTAGCTAACGACTGTTGAATGTTTAATGGAACCAAATGTTGGCAGGAAGCTGAGGGAGTCACCTGATCCTCATGTCAGAGCCAGCTGTTAGCAGCAGAGGATTCCCATCTGCAGGACTGCAGTAAATCCCATGCACACTGTGAGGAGAAGGCTGTGCGCACACGCACACACACACACACACACACACACACATACAGAAGGAAGTGGGACAGCATTAAAGTCAATCACTAGTACAAGGGGAAAGTCTGCTCCCCACTGGTGAGAACACACACCTGCATCTCAGACAGAGGAGGAGCAGAACTGGCCCACAGAGTAAACTTCCGGTCTCCTGTCTCCATGTCCCACATGGACACCTCGTTGTTTCCTTGAACAGCTGAAAACACAGTTGGGTCAGAGGTAGCGACGGGTCTGATCATGTGTCAGCCCTGTATCGTGGGCTGTATCTGTGCCTGACCAGCAGAGGGAGTTTTTCCTTTGCTGTCATTGTCTCTCACCTGCGATCACTGATGACTGGTAGAGCGGGTGCATGAGCAGCCGTCTGATTCGCGCTCGTGCAGGGTGGGAGTGGTTTGAAATGGGGAGCTGGAACCTCATATCCCAGCATGCCATGGTGCCGCTGCTGGTGCCTGCGGAGAAAGCAGTGGTCACTTTGACCTGTGAAGGTTGTAAGACGTCTGACAAGTTGGACTGGAGCCACGGGTTGGGACTGACCCAGACACAGCCAGCACTGGTGCATGTCCACGCTGAAGGACGTGATGAGGCCCAGACGCAGGTCGTGACGCAGCGTCCAGGCGTTGGAGTTGGAGCGGAGGTCCCAGCCAATCAGAGAGCCGTTCACTGTGGCGTAGGCCAAGACGGACTGAGCCCCGGAGTTAAAGTGATTGATGTCCACAGCACAACCGTCCAGCTGGAGGTCCAGACTCCTGAAGACGTGGGCCACGCCCCAAACATTGACAAGTCATTCATTTAACCGTGAAACTAAAAACGATTCGATTAGCAGAAAATTATGAACAATTACAACATAATGACTCTGGTTTTAATCTTGTGCATGAGTTTTCAATCATGAGTGAGTGTGTGAGTGTGTGTGTGTGTGTGTGTGTGTGAACGTACCTGCTCTGGAAAGGCTGGACTTTGGGAGACTTCGGTGGCTTGTTGGCTTCCACAGCCAGCAGCTGGATGGCGCCGTTGTCTGAGGCCACAGCCAGATAATGCGAGCCCTGACAGAACGTCATCGTCTTCACGTGACCACCGATGCGTGAATACGTCAGCACTGACCTGTGACAGTCACACACACACACACACACACACACACACAGGTTAGTGCTGATCACCGATGACAGACTCGTGGGTTTATCAGCTCACGGTTGCTCTGTGTGCGCCCCCACCTGGTGGTGGTGGTCTTGCCCTCCATCTTCTGACTGTCCCAGACTTTGACGGTACCGTCATTTGACGCCGTGGCGAAGATGGCGTGTTCGTCTGACACTCGGATCCGGTTGACGGCCGCCTTGTGTTCGTGCAGGTGAGCCACCAGCAGACCTTTAGGGTGCCACCCTGTGGCGGACAGGAAGTCAGAGCCGCTGGAGGATGATAAGAGCGGGTGTGCTGCGGTGTGTTAATGTTACCAGGCGGCGGCGGGCGGCTCTCCCATTCTGCGCTCTCCATCATCTGCTTGGCCATGCGCTCGGCGCTGCACTGCTCCCTTTTCTGCTGCACCAGCTGCTGAAGCTCCACCTTGCAGGTGTTGATGCGACGCTGGTAGGCGGGGCCACTGATGACGGACTGCAGCACTGGCACCGCTGGTGTGGTTGCGCTCTTCTTGACCTGACCGCCCGCTACGTCAGCTGCCTGCTAAGACATCACAACATCATGTTAGCCACAGTGACAAAAGGTGGGGGCGTGTTGAGCGGGCGATTCTCACCGCGGCAGGTTGAGCCGACGACGGCTCCTGAGATCCAAACATGCTCTTCCACTCCTCGTTCATGGTGGAGTCTTGTTTGGTGTGTTTTCTGGCTAAAACCCCCCCCAGAGATAACATTTAATGAAATGCTCATACCCAGCAGGTGGCGCTCTTGCAACATTGTGTGAGGTGGTTACCTCTCTTGTCCTCTAACTCTGTCCCGCTGCGTCAGCGTCCTGCAAAGACATCACAACATCATGGTAGCCAAAGTGACAAAAGGTGGGGGCGTGTTGAGCGGGCGATTCTCACCGCGGCAGGTTGAGCCGACGACGGCTCCTGAGATCCAAACATGCTCTTCCACTCCTCGTTCATGGTGGAGTCTTGTTTGGTGTGTTTTCTGGCTAAACCCCCCCCCAGAGATAACATTTAATGAAATGCTCATACCCAGCAGGTGGCGCTCTTGCAACATTGTGTGAGGTGGTTACCTCTCTTGTCCTCTAACTCTGTCTTCGGTTTGACCAGGTCCACTTGGCGGCCGCTGATGCCTAGCGTTGCTAGGTCGATGACACCGGTTTGCCCTGCCTCCACCAGGTGGCTCTGCTCACCCATGTTAGCTTTAGCCTTGTTGGATTTCAACATGAAGTCTTTAAGTGCCAGCAGCTTGTCCTCCTCCGCCTCCGTCATCCCCTGATTGATAAGGGACAAGAAATGGTCAACAGAGTCAAACGGTGTCAGACTTCTGACTTCTGTTCTTGGCCCGCTGCTGGCGTCCACATGACTAATAGTTCCTTGGAAAGACACATTGTTTCATAACAACCTCAATGCTTCTGGGTCGGATCAGTTCCGTGGAAGAGATCTGAGATCTGAGAATGGGAACTGGTGGTTAGGAACAGCAAAGACAGATGTCCTGCTAAAACAGACACAGAGGGGTTTTGCTGCCTTTGGCTCAAAGGCTGTCTGCTGTCTGCTGTCTCCACATGGGTTTCCGGAAGACATGGTAATGAGCTGCGATTCAAGAGAATTTCTCTTTAATGAGAACAAGATGTGTGTGCGATTCTCTCATCTGAAACAGATGGACTTTATTTTGAGTAGACTGGTAAAGGAATTAATGGGATTCAAGAGAAGAACCACAACCCGACACCGTTAAGTTCAAATGTGTGACTTGGGACTTCTCTTCTTTAGAATTACCTCAGTCACACAACCTGACCACAGGAGGGCGCAGTGGAGCAGCATAGCTTTCTCGGTGAACGTTGGTGTGAGAGCTACTGACCTGTGAGAGCAGCTTCTTCAGGAGCTGAGCAATGGCTGGATCTTCAGGAGTGGGGCATTCTGGGATAGATCCAGCACGTTTCTTCTGCCGCAGCAGCAGGTGGCGGAAGAGGCTGCCGATGTCTTTTGAGCGAAGTGCGTAGTCGAAGATGGAGCGACTCACCGGCTCCTTCAGGACGCTGAGCAGGACCAGCTCCTTATCGATCTGCGGGGAGAGCGGCGGGGAGGAGGAGGAGGATCAGCAGGCGGGAAGACGACCGGCTGATGCTGGAGGAGGATCAGCAGGCGGGAAGACGAACGGCTGATGCTGAGGACGAGGACGAGGACGATGGCGTGGACTCACCTGGATGATGGGCTGGGTGATGAACGGGTTAAGGTGTGGCATCAGTTTGCAGTAGACGTCGGCCACGTTGAGGTGCTGAGCGACCACGGTGATGAAACCCACGGCTCCATAACGGATCCACAGGTTGGGATGACACAAGAACGGAGCTGGGACCAGGGAGAGGAGCGTCAGACAGTTAGGACCAAAGTCAACAACAATAAAAACGACACCAAAATAACAACAAAATATTTGCTTTTATAGTCGCTAAGATCCTGCTGCATTCTCACCGATGTCGCTGACAAACTCGTAGATGTGCGGCTTCTGCAGCAGGCCCAGCTGACACATGCAGGTGAGTGCGTTCAGGGCTTTGTAGATGACAAACTCCTCGGTGTCGCTCAGACCTTGCTGCAGCAGCGGCTTCAGGATGGACGAGCTCTGCCAACCCACGTACGCCGCCACACCTACACCACCGGGACGCAGGGAGAGGACCAATGACGTGACGTGAACATCGCAGGCTCAACACAGCGCTGCAGTGTGAGGTTCTCACCCACGATGCTGTCGAAGAACGCCCCCCGCAGGTGCCAGTCGTTCTTGTCGTTGAGGAAGGTGATCATGTGGGACAGCAGGACGTCGTTTGCCTTCTGTCGGCCGAAGAAGACGCAGAGGCGCGTGATGCCGTTCTCCATCAGGGACTGCTTCACGATGTTCTCCGAGTCGCTCAGCAGCGTCACCACCTTCTGCTGGACCATCTCATGAAGGGCCTGGAGCTCTGTGCATCAACATTTGACAACATTCACTCAGGAAACTGTTGACTGTAACCCAGTCACTCTCCTACACTGAGCTGAAATCCATCAGGCGTGTGTGGGAACAGCCTCCAGTCTGCTGTCGATGGACTGTGTTCGGTCGGATGAAGACGTGACCAGACTTAGGAAAAGAACTTACATTTACATTCATGCATTAATTAGACACTTTTCTCCAAAACAACTTACAGAGGAGGATTAACATTATCAAGCATGTGGTTCCTGTAGGAATCGAACCAGGACTCTCTGCTTCCGAGGCAGACCTAACCGCTACACTATGGAACCACAGAAAATCCCAACGAGGATGGGATTCGAACCCATATGTGCAGAGCACAATGGATTAGCTACGGCCAGGGGAAACCCTGCAGTAGAGAGCTGACAGCTCCAGGTTTGTACCTGAATCGTAGTTTTCATTGGGGTGAAGAGTTTCCTCTGCGTCCTCACTGCTCAGCTCCTGCTCTGCATTTATGTTGTTCTCCTGAACCAGCTCCAGGAAGCGCAGAGCGCTCTCTGCCAGATGAGCGATGTTCTCTGAAAGACAGGAGCGGAAATCAGACTCTCCGTAAGACAAACTTAACAACTTCCTGTCCAACGCTCACCTGCGTACGCCAGCCTGACGATGGTGGCGTCGTCCTGGGCCAGATGTGCAATTCCTGGCAAGATGTACTCTGGGTAAATGTTGACGTCGTTTCTCGGCACCTCCTTCACCAGAGCCAGCACTTTGGCCAGAGTCCTGACGGCCTGAGCGCGGACACGTGGCACAGAGTCGTTGCAGAAATGCAGCAGGTACGGACTGATGCGGTCCAGCAGGATGTCCACACTGAGCCGAGGGGCCAGGTGAAGGACCAACTCCAGTGAGGCCAGTTTGGAGTCACAGGAGTGGAGCGTCTGCAGACAGGAAGTGATGACGGACACCAGCACCATCAGGCCCTGCTCCTCCTTGGAGCTCAGAGAAGCTTCAGCACAGACGTCCTGGGACGAGGACAAGGGGGAGGAAGGGGAACCTGGAGGAAGGACAAAGATGTTTCTTTGAATAGATTCCTATGTGATGAAGCAGGGGGCGCTGTTGAGTAACACATTTTTTGTTTTATTCAAAGTTCTTTTTAAGTCAGAGTGACAAGAATTTAGCCTAATCATTAGCTAGTCTGGCCAATGTGGACTAAGGATGAGGTGATGGGCCAGAAAAAAACAAAGTCGCACCTGGACCTCCTCGAAGATTGTGCAGGATGTTGTCCAGGTCTTTACGGATGACCAGCACTCTCTCGTCAGCCGACTGGAAGGTCTCCTTGGCGAACTGGGCCATGTATGGCTGCAGGAAGGTGTAGAAGATGTCGGGGAAGGCTTTTCCTCGCTGCTGCTTCAGGTATTCCTCTGCTGTCAGACGCTTCTCCGGCTCCCGCTGCACCATCTGAGCCACCTGTGGTCGATGGTTCCGTTAGACAGAGTGCGTTTTTTAACAATGTGTGACTTTCACGAGGAGAAACAGAGACATGAGTCACAACAAAGGTGGGAGTGAAAACAGTTTCTAATTTGCTCTGGTACCAGTTCTCTGATGCTGCAGTCTTCAATCTTCAGTAGAAACTCCTCAGTCTGAAAGTGACCTTTGCGATAAGCGAGCAGCTGTGACAGGTCAAAGAGGGGGACGCCTTCGGCAAAGAGCTCTGCGATCACGCAGCCTGACGTCACAAAAAACACAGGGTTTACACAAAATATCAGATGTCTACTTTTGTCTTTTTAACATCTCTGAATAAACATTATTCTAATTCTAATTTGAATAAGATTTCAAAAAGACTCAAAGGGAGTCAACAGTTTCCCTTTGAGCTAAAATCAATGATTTTCCCTATGAGTTTCAGTTTCCTGTTTACCTGCAGAGAAGATGTCCATGGCCTGTTTGAGTTCTCCTCTGCTCCTCTGGTTGTTGTTGGTCAGGTCCACCAGTGGCGTGTTCTGGTCACTCTCCGTGGTGAACATACTTCCATCGACAAAGCGCTCTGGTGCGATGTAGCAGGTTCTCCGTCTGGATGTGTCAAAGAAGTAGTTGAAGTCAGCAGGGTTGTCCTCTGGCAGGTAGGTGGGTTTGAAGCTGGCAAAGTCTGTGAGCAGAACCCAGTTCCAGCTGGTCACCATCACGTTCTCAGTTTTAATATCCCCATGGCGAACTCCCGATTTGTGGGCCTGGTCGACAGCGTTGAGGATCTGGAAGGCCAGCCAGCGCTTCTCCACGTTGTTTAAAAACGGGCGTGTGCTGATGCGGTCGTACAGGTTATCGCGAACATACTGTCGGAACAAGATGGCAGCCTTCTCGGTCAGGGAGGTCTTTTGGAAAGGCAGACAGTTCTGGCAGGAGTGCAGCCGGATCTTCAGCTCTTCCAGCTCCTGTTTGTAGCTGGTCAGCGGCAGCGAGGGGTCCTGGATGGCAAAGACTTTGACCACCACCAGTCCCTCCCGGTGTTTGGCCCGGGCCACCTTGAAGAAGCGAGTGCTGCCCAGACTTTTATCGTACTCATGGTCATTGATATCAGAGAAGTAACTGTCCACAGACAGGATCTGAGACGGGGCGATGCCGGCCAGTTGGTTCCCCATCCCCCTGGTGGACAAATGAGCGTCAGCTCTCAAATGAACTTTGAGCCTCTCACATGTGAGTTAAAAATCAACAAAAACCTAAAAACACAAACACACAAAAAAAGTAAAACAAAAACCTAAAAACACAAACACACACAAAAAAAGGCTATTTTTAGCTCAAAGTGTTGAATCTGAAACATCAGGACTTTATCTGACTGTGAGACAGACCATATACTGTAGATTCCATAGAAAAAAAACAGACCATTAAATAGTCTTAAGTTTTAAGTTTTCTTAAGGTCATTAAGAAAATAAGTGATTTTTACTCCCAAGAGTTGCTGATTTACTGCGTCACTAAACACCTTTCAGTCTGCACTCTACAACAGTGCTGTTTTCTACAGCAGGGTGCTCACTGTTATTAATATCACAACACAAGACTGGTATAAAAACGGTGGTGTCCATTTCCAGATGAGAAATTTGTTAAATGTTTTCGAATTTAGTCACATGACTCTGAGGATGACTGTGTGTTTTCAATTAACTACATAAAACAGGATATTAAAAATAATTTACCATAAGAAGACGCAGGTCCTCCGGTAGCCTTTGTTATGGGTTTGTTGTTGTTGTTATTGTTGTTGTTTTTAGCTTTAGCAGGTCGACGTCCTGTCAGAGCTGCTGATAACGGCAGCTAATGCTAACAGCTGTAGTCAAATAAACACAAGTGACGTCACACTTCCCATTCTCCTATCGCCACGAGGTGGGGAAAGGTACGTTAAAAGCTAAACAAAATTGTAAATAAACAAAATAAAATCGCCCCGGTCTAAATCGTGCAGCTATGCTACTAATGTTTTTCATAGAAACATACTTCAGGTATTGTTGTTTCCGGCCAAGAACGGAAGAGGCGCCCTCTACAGTTCAAAACGGCGTTACTGCAAAGATCGTGTATGAAGACAATGCAACACTCCGTAAATGACATAAGAAATGGTTAACGTTTTTTAACTGTTTAAATTTTATATTTTCCTGTACACCTGTAATTAAACCAATAATCTACAGTAGAATTTTAAATACTAAACAAAATAAAAATTACAGCTCTTATTTATTTTTAAATAATACATTCGTCGTAGCTAAAGAAGTGTGAGGAGCAAGATGCTGGGAGGTTAAAATCACTGGGCGAGCTGATGAAGTAAGTGGCTGAGAAATATAATTTGATACAACTCTACAAAACATTTTAATGCTTTTTTGACAGAATATTTGAAAATGATTATTGTTTTGGTAGTTGTTACATTTCTTCTCTTTTCCAAACCATCTCAGTTGATGGTTTCTGAGGTTTCTCCCCCGTCTTTCTCTATGAATCTCTGAATAACAATATCACCTGGAAGAAGTCTTTATACATTGTTTTTTAAACGGTATTTGGACTTTTAAGCAAGTGAACTGAGAATTCTATTTTAGATAGGTATCTGAAATGTAAGTATGGCGATGACGTGGTCGTTCAAAATGTGTTAAAAGTTAAAAGTGACTCTGAAATTCAAACAAACGACCATCGTCTGAACGGACATGCAGTGAGGCCACTTCTTTCATCCACACTATCTTTGAGAGGACCCGGAAGAACCTTCCCGTGCTGCTGTTCGAGCAGGTGAGAGTTGCGGCACCTGAGCGGATGTGAGGGAATTCTTTTTCTTTTCAAAATAAAGAAAAAAAGATAAGGTTGATTTCTCATGTGAAACTGTTGGGTTTCCTGCGGTAAAATCTTTTTTTAACATGACTCCAATCTGGAAAAAGAAATAACTTTATTTCATGTAGTTTTTAAAACAAATTGAATTATCCAGACAACACATGCTAATCCAAAAAGTCTTATCGGAGCTTCATTTGAACTGGAGGGGCTTGTTGGATAAAAGGCAAAGTCTCTTCAAAAAGCCTTAGAAACGTCCAGGGCCAGCTCAGCTTCATTAAAGCTCATCTGTTACCGAGATATCAGTCATTCAGAGTTGAACTTGAGATTTGCTGGAGAATAAAGATTCAGAATATGAATAAAAAGGCATCGTTGCATTCCATTCATATTTTGAAAGTTAGCGGAAGTGCAGCGGCTGACGTCGTTATTGTAGCTTGACATGGCGGACCTCGCTCGGTGTTAGAAAAACGCTCCACGCAGGATCTGGAGGAAGATGCTGACGAAACGGGAGCAGCTGGTGAGTTTGTTTCTGATCAACTTTCTGTTCACATCTTGACCGACTTAGACAGTTTATGTAAGCCGACGTCGTCGTGTCGCGGTGGAAACGGTTTAAACCGGGCGGAAAGATTAGGAGGAAGAGGGGAAGAAGAAGCAGCGTCGGCTGCTTGTTTGTTTAGTTTAGTTCAGCGCGAGCGCGCTTGCGTGAGTGAGTGTTTGTTGCTAAAGTTGCTAATGCTACTGTTAGCGGCGAAGCTAACATTGGCTCGCCGACTAATCCTTGTGTTGTGTTGTGTTGTTGTGTTGCGTTGTCTAACCTAATCATTAGTGTTGTTAGCCATGTAATTAAAACCAATCCCATTTCCTGACGACATTTTCTCTGTGTAAAAAACTGTTTATTCAACCCTTGTTTCACTGACTGACAGACCAACAGAAGGATCAACAGACTGTCCAATGGACAGAGCAGTTGACAGTTGGTCAGACAGACAGACAAACAGACAGATGGACAGTTTTCGCTAATATCATTACAGACAAACCTCTATCATTGTCTGTATTCAACGTCCACCACCAGCAGACTGATGGTGAAACAGTGAGTGAGTCGGTTTATTGACAGACAGACAGACGTGTCAGTTGTCCACAGAGATTTCACAACAGTCAACACAGTCATCGCACACTCAGTGGTTAAGGAAGCGGACTTGGGTCCGGGAGGCTTCAGGTATCAGTCCACCAGCTGCCGAGTTACCACTGAGCATGGCACCGTCCACACACACACAGTTTAAAGCTGCCCACTGTTTACTCTGGTGATGGGTTAAGAACAGAGGTCATATTTGGTTGTGTGCTGTGTCACAATGATAAGGAAAGTAATTCACTTTCCTTCCTTCCTCTGTGTGTGTGTGTTTGATTAAATATGACTAAAATATATTGACTAAAAAACTGTTCAGTCTGATGTTGTGTGAATTTTAAAAAGTTCATCTAAATCAGATCTTAGTTTTTACCATCTACACTTATGTTCATTTAAAGGTGAACTCCCTGATCCATGCATGTTTCTGATTGGCCGTCATCAACACACCTGAGCGACTACTTGTGTTAATTTCAAATCCCAAATACTTCAAACTTGGGAAGTAAGGATGAAGGTCACGAGCGCCTGCTTCATCAGCAGCAGCTCCAGCGCTGAGCTCAGCTTCCACGGTGGTCACGAGGTCCACGTTAGCCAGTGATGAACAAAAGAACCAGAGCCAGGCAAAGTAGGTCGGACCCGCCTAGGGACCGGTTCAGGGACTGGGAGTCTGAAGTGATGTCACTTATTTTTAGTGGTGGTGTCTTTAAACTGGAGCATGGCCACAGTCTCATCCTGGAAGATTTAAAGTGTGGTTCAAACCAGAGCAGCAGTGGTCCTGATGCTACGAACCAGAAAAACATGCACCAGACACACTGAGGACTGAAGGCAAGAAAAGACATTTAAAAAAAAAAAACGTTAGTGTGATGAAAAAAATGGGACGTACAAAAAATAAAGACAAAATAAGTTCTAATGGGAATTCTATATGTGTAGCCCTTATTTATTTTTATGGACTTTACAGATTCAAAATTAAAATAAAAAAATGCCCATTTTCCAGGAAGAAGTCTCCCTCAGACCCAGGCTCAGTTTTACCATCTGCCTCGACATAAAAAAATCTTCAAAAATGATTTGTACAGAACAGTAGAACTAACAGACAGGTGGTCTATGTAGACCGTACTGGGATAGTAGGATCCTGTAAAGATGTGGGCTGGTGGTCAGGCTGCACCTTTCATCTCCTGGGTCATGTTCACTGGAGATCTTGATGTGACTCGTGTGAATGTTTGGAGCTGCCACTGCTGTGGCTTCTTGTTTCAGGCTGTGAAAGTTGTTGGTAGATGAGAAATACCTGAACGTGGCTGAGGCAGGAGGCATGAAAGAATGACACTGTCTCACTCTGGCTGGCTGACGGACAGACGGTTTTCACTCTGACCTCCGTCTGACCACAGGGTGGGAGACGAGCAGCAGGTGGACCGAGGTGTGACGAGCAGTTCCTTGAGTTAATGTCATGTGACGGTAGATAGACAGATTCCACTCCGTGACTGATTGATGTGACGGTAGATAGACAGATTCCACTGTGACTGATTGATGACCATTCCCATGTGGAACTGATGGACAATGAGTGGAAGGATGTGATTGGTGGATGAGGTTAATCCCTCGCTCAGTCGGATTATTTTCAGATTAGCTGAGCTGTGGCTGCCTCTCTCACCTTCTTCTCCACCGGTTCAACCCGTTCTCTCGTTTCTTCTGGTGTGTTTGTGCTGAAGCTTTCCGTCAGACAATCCCCCGGTGAAGATGAGACCATGGTCCCTGTACTGACCTCCAGAAAAGCCAGTGAACTCCCTGTCCATGAGGTGGTGTGTGTCCTGCAGGTCAGTGACATCACCCCAATCTACACACACACACACACACACCGTGTAGTCACAGTGGGCTGTTTGGTTGACGGTGTGTTCTGTCCGGACAGGCGGACCCCCAGCTGGGTCTTACCCAGGATGAGGTGATCAGGAGGAGAACGTACCACGGCTGGAACGAGTTTGACATCAGTGAAGAAGAGCCGCTGTGGAAGAAGTACATCTCACAGGTCGGTGACCCTGCACAGAGATGTTAGCAGAGACCCCCGCAGACTGTGATGATGATGATGATGATGATGATGATGATGATGATGATGAGGAGGAGGCTGAGGGACTGAGTGTAATGTTAGACCTGTTCTGTGTCCAGTTCAAAGATCCTCTGATCCTCCTGCTCCTGGCCTCAGCTGTCATCAGTGTTCTCATGCACCAGTTTGACGACGCCATCAGCATCACCGTGGTGAGTCCTCCAGTCGTCTGCAGCTGGACAAACACAGACACTTAGTAGTAGTAAAAAGGTGAATCAATGGTAAAGTCGCTGGATTACGTCCCTGATGGTCTGCTGTGACACAGAAACACTGCAGTTCAGTCATCAATAATCAATAATCAATAACAGGCCATTGATCTGACTGATCATCTTCAGATCTTTTTTATTTCCAGGCCATCATCATCGTGGTGACGGTTGCCTTCGTACAGGTGAGTGTGTGTGTGTACCTGTGGATTTGGGTGTGTATCCACCTGTGTGTGTGTGTGTGTGTGTGTGTGTGTGTCCTCGTCCTCACATCTCCCTCCTCTTCTCAGGAGTATCGCTCAGAGAAGTCTCTAGAAGAACTGGGGAAGCTGGTTCCTCCACAATGTCACTGGTGAGTCTGTGAGCGCAGCTATTTGATAATAACCAGAGTCTGTCGTCGCCTCCACACTGACTGTCTCTGTCTGTCTCTGTCTGTGTCTGTCTGTCTCTGTCTGTCTGTGACTGTCTGTGTCTGTGTCTGTCTGTGTCTGTCTGTCTGTGTCTGTCTGTCTGTCTGTGACTGTCTGTCTCTGTCTGTGTCTGTGACTGTCTGTGTCTGTGTCTGTCTGTGACTGTCTGTCTCTGTCTGTCTGTGACTGTCTGTGACTGTCTGTGTCCCCGTATCAGGGAAGGACACCTCGAGAACATGCTGGCCAGAGACCTGGTCCCTGGAGATACTGTCTGTCTGTCTGTGGGGGAGAGAGTCCCAGCAGACCTGCGTCTGTTTGAGGTGCGCGCGCACACACACACACACACACACAGATAGTCTTTTATTTTATCATATCTTATTTTTAAATGGTGAACTGATTGGATTGTGGTCGGCCTGGGTGAGGGTGAGGGTGATTCTGATTCTGAATCGGTTCCGTCCTGTTCCATCTCAGGCCGTCGATCTGTCGGTGGACGAGTCCAGCCTCACAGGAGAGACCACGCCCTGCTCCAAGTCCACCTTACCTCAGCCGCTCACCTCCAACGGGGACATCGCCTCCCGCAGCAACGTGGCCTTCATGGGGACGCTGGTGCGATGCGGCAAAGCCAAGGTACGCGACCGGAACACCACAGAACCTCGGCCACTGTTCCTGACATATGTCTGTACACGGAAATGACACGGGAACCTTTGTCTCCAGGGCATTGTGATCGGAACTGGAGAGAGCTCCGAGTTTGGAGAAGTTTTTAAGATGATGCAAGCTGAGGAGGTCAGAGAAGAAGTCCATAACATTTTGATTGTCATTCAGAAGAGTCAATCTTCCACAGTTGATCTGAAGTTCCTGATGTCTGGTTTTGTCTCCAGGCACCAAAGACCCCGCTGCAGAAGAGCATGGACCTGCTGGGGAAGCAGCTGTCCCTCTACTCCTTTGGCATCATAGGTCAGTGGTTCAACGCCCATCCTGGTCTTAATCAGAGGGCGGAGTCTGAGCAGTGATCATGTGACCGCTGTGTTCCAGGTGTCATCATGCTGGTGGGCTGGCTGCAGGGCAAGAGGATCATGGACATGTTCACCATTGGAGTCAGGTGGACACAGAAACTTCTACCTGACTTCAGTCTCCAGACTTTTCTGTGCTCATGTTTGTTGATGAGTTTTTGTGTGATGATGTTTTTTGTTGTTGTTGTTGTTGTTGTTGTTGTTGTTGTTGTTGTTGTTGTTGTCGTCGTCGTCAATCCTCCTCAGTCTGGCGGTGGCAGCCATCCCCGAGGGTCTTCCCATCGTGGTGACGGTGACTCTGGCGCTGGGTGTGATGAGGATGGTGAAGAAACAAGCCATCGTCAAGAAGCTGCCCATCGTAGAAACTCTGAGTATGTGAAGTAATGACCAGTGGTTGGTGCCGTGTTTACGGCGCCGGCTGATGATGTCACTGTGATGTGGTTTCACTGCGTCAGGCTGCTGTAACGTGATCTGCTCGGACAAGACTGGAACCTTGACGAAGAACGAGATGACGGTCACTCAGATGTTCACCTCAGACGGACTCCATGCTGAGGTCAGGACCTTTGACCTTTAGGTCATTCATCAGTTAATGAATTAATTAAATAAGGAACTGATTAACGTGACATCTACGTACTTAAACGTGCATGTGTGTGTGTGTGTTTTAGGTAACGGGTGTGGGCTACAACAACCAGGGAGAAGTCCTAGTGGACGGTGAGATGGTCCACGGCTTCTCCTGCCCGTCCATCACCAGGATTGTGGAGGTGAGTCATCTGAGGAGGAACATCTGACGAAGATCTTTCTGCTCCTGCTGCTCCTCCACCTCTGAACTGTGTGTGTGCGTGTGTGTGTAGGCTGGCTGTGTGTGTAACGACTCTGTGATCAGAAATAACAACCTGCTGGGACGTCCAACAGAGGGGGCGCTCATCGCCCTTGCCATGAAGGTGAGAGCCCACAAACAGCAGCCTCTTAATCTCTGATCCTGGTCCTGAGTTTCTGACCCCGACTCTCCGTGTCCGTGTCCTACCTCAGATGGGCCTGGAGACCCTGCAGAAGGACTACGTGCGTCTGGATGAAATCCCCTTCAGTTCGGAGCAGAAGTTCATGGCAGTTCGTTCTGTTCATCGGGCTCAGCAGGTCAGTGTGGGAGGAATCTTGGTCTTGGTTCATTTGATCAAATAAAACAGTTTCACTCTACTGTTATCTCCTTACTGTCTCAGGACAGAGCCATTTACTTCCTGAAGGGGGCGTATGAACAGGTGATTCGTTTCTGCAGCTCCTACAACAGCCGAGGAAACAGCTTTCCCCTCAGCCAACAGCAGAGGGAGCTATACCAGCAGCAAATCAGTTACATGGGCTCAGCCGGACTCAGAGGTGAGGGGGCGCTAGAGTCTGCGCTCAGTGTTCTTTTTATTGAATCACACCACACTCTGTCACAACTTCTTTTGACTGTGTGCTGCCCCCTGCAGTCCTGGCATTTGCATCAGGAGGAGAAATGGGCTCTCTCACCTTTCTGGGTCTGGTGGGAATCATCGACCCGCCCAGGTCAGGGGTCAAAGAAGCCGTGGCCACGCTCATCAGCTCAGGCGTTGCTGTGAAGATGATCACGGGAGACTCTCAGGAAACGGCTGTGTCTATAGGTCAGGGGGCGGAGCCTCCATCATTACTACAATGATGACAAGTTCAATTAAATTTCCCTTTTGTTTGTGAATCACCTTCAGAAAGTTCTAGATCATTTCGTAATTTCTTTTTATTGGCGATTGGCTCTTAGTTTGTTTGTTTTTGCTGTTCTAGCTAACGGTTAGCTCCTCTGTAGATTGTTTTGAACATGTTTCTACTTCCTGTCTGACTGTTTCATCTTCTGTATCTGTGGAACAGCCAGTCGTCTGGGACTTTTCTGCAAAGGTTCTCAGTGTCTGTCTGGAGAAGAGGTGGACCAGCTGGACCTTCAGCAGCTGTCGACCATGGTCCACAGAGTGAGAGGCTAATGACACACACACACACACACACACACCAGGGTGCAGTGACTTTCAGCTGACGTCATCATTTTTCTGCAGATCTCTGTCTTCTATCGAGCCAGTCCTCGACACAAGCTGAAGATAGTTAAGGTGAGAGCGCCACCATCAGTTTGGGGAACATGTTTTATCAAATTTAAAAATGTTGTTTTGGTTTTATTTGGCTAAATGTGCACAACATTTTTTTTCTTTTTGGTGTGCAGTCGCTGCAGAACAACGGTGCTGTGGTGGCCATGACAGGTGACGGCGTGAATGATGCCGTGGCTTTGAAGGCGGCCGACATTGGCGTTGCCATGGGACGCACCGGCACTGACGTCTGTAAGGAGGCGGCAGACATGATCCTGGTGGACGACGACTTCAGGACCATCTTGTGAGCAGGAGACACACTTCCTGAGCCCAGCTCCTCCGTGGTCGCGTTCTGACGTCTGTTCTGACGTCTGTTCTGACGTCTGTTCTGACGTCTGTTCTGACGTCTGTTCTGATGTCTGTTCTGACGTCTGTTCTTCCGTCCTTGTCCTCAGGTCGGCCATTGAGGAAGGAAAAGGAATTTACAACAACATCAAGAACTTTGTCCGGTTTCAGCTGAGCACGTGAGTCTGAGAACGGACACAGGAAGAGGGAGGGGAGGGGTGAGGAAGGTTGTCGATGAATGGAAGTGATAATGTGATATTGATGATGTCACTTCCTGTGTCTCATCGCTGGTCTCCAGGAGCATCGCAGCACTGACCCTCATCTCCTTGGCGACGCTGATGAACTTCCCAAATCCCCTGAACGCTATGCAGATTCTGTGGATCAACATCATCATGGACGGACCTCCAGCTCAGAGGTACTGAGGCATCATGGGAAATGTTCAAGACCAACGACATAAGACGGCGCCGTTGACGTGTGTTCATCTCTGTTGTGTCCACAGTTTGGGGGTGGAGCCTGTGGACCAGGAGGTGATAAAGAAACCTCCCCGTAACGTCAGAGACAGCATCCTCACCCGCAGCCTCATCTTCAAAGTTCTGCTCTCAGCGTTCATCATCGTCAGCGGAACGCTCTTCGTCTTCTGGAGAGAGGTTCTTCACCCGGCTGTGGACCATCTTCATCATCATCCTGCTCCTCTTCCTCCTTTTCTCCCCTCTCACCTCCTGTTGTGGTTTCTCTCCTCAGTTGCAGGACAACGTCATCACTCCTCGTGACACCACCATGACCTTCACCTGCTTCGTGTTCTTCGACATGTTCAACGCATTGAGTTCCCGCTCACAGGTGAAGCACACACAGACCTTCGTCTGTTTTGTTTTACTGACCAACTGACTGACCGACCGACCGACTGAAGCCTGTTACTTCATACAGTGACCCACACTTTGTGAAGAGTAAACTGTGTGTGTGTGTCCGTGTGTGTGTGTGCCGCTCAGACCCGTATGGTCCATGAACTGGGCGTGTGCAGTAACAGGACCTTCTGTCTGGCCGTCCTGGCCTCCATCATGGGTCAGCTGCTGGTCATCTACTTCCCTCCTCTGCAGAGGATCTTCCAGACAGAGAGCCTCAGTATCTTTGGTGAGAAGTCGACCGCGTCCTCGCAACCCGTGACTTTAATCCAAACTTAATCTGAGAAATAATCTATAATCTGTAATCTGTGTGTGTGTGTGTGTGTGTGTTGCAGACCTCCTCTTCCTGGTCAGCCTCACCTCGTCTGTGTGTGTGGTGTCAGAGGTCGTGAAGAAGGTGGAGAGGATGAAGTCATCACACAAGACTCCGCCCTCCGACTTCTTCCATGAGGTATGACCCCGCCCACGTCACCCTGTCAATCTGGATCGGACACCCCACCACAGGGGACCAGCAAACGGACGCAAGCAGGTGGGAGTTCCAGGAGGGGGAGGGGTAAGAGAGACGTTTCCATAGTAAATGCTCAGGTGGGCGGGGCCTGTCTGGTCTGACGATGTTGGAGGGGTGGAGCCACTTGAAAACATCAAACGAAACTTTCAAAATGGCTGCCACTCATGTTGACCCACACTTCGCCCTGCCCCCCTCCCCCAGTACCTCCCGTGTTCCATCTCCCAACTGACGCCAACCTGACCCTGGATCTGACTGGTCATGTGACCCGGCTTGTCATGTGAGTCATCTGAAGAAAATGATTACACTTCTGAAGGGGGCGATAGCGAGGTTTTCTTTTTTTTTTGGTTTTTGTTTTAAACCGAGGATGTTTGATTTTAACTGTCCAAGGTGAAGGTTAACAGAACAAATCCAAGGTTTTTTTTTTTAGTTTCTGTTTGAAGTCGACATGAGGAAGAAGTGTGGTCTGAAACAGAGACTCTCTGATGAAAGCTCCCTTTTTTCCTCTTTGATCAAATGTTTTCGTCTTAATCGAACTACTGAAAACAGTTTTCAAAAACCTGCTGAATTATGAAAGAAAATCAAACTTCCTGTGAGAAACCCCACCCCAAAAATATAAAAATGATGTAAAGATACAAAACACTAGTTTGATTGAACAGAAACACTGACATTAAAATGGACTTTGGTCCAAAACAAGAACAAAAAATTTAAAAACATTCTATTAAAAAGTGTCTTTGTTTTAAACCAGGAGCTGAAATGGAAATAAATGTTTCGTCAAATCTGCTGAGTCACACACTGGATATGTTAACGTTAGCTTCTCCTGTTAGCTTGTCCATTCAGCCTTCCCATCATCCTTCAGCTGCTCACCTGACAAATTGAATAATCAAAGATTTTCTATTTTCTATTATAATGACATTTTTTCTTGTGATGCTGTCTTTTTTTTTTTTTGTATTAGCTCTGAATCTGTCCCATTTTGGACTTGATGTGTAAGAAAATGGGCGGGGCATCTGTCGCCAGAGGAGGCAGTTGTTTTTTCAAATGCAGTAAAGACCTGACCCTCCAGGTCACATTCCATCTCTCCATTCCTTTTAGTTTTCCGTTTTCATATTTAAAAAAAACTTTTCATCTGTAAATAAACAAAAACACATCAGCGACTGCAGAGCTTTGAACTCTGCTAAAAAACACCCAGTGAACACCACTGCCCCTGGTGGCTGCAGCGTGACAACACAAAAATGCTGCATCAACAGCACCTTCATCCTGTGCCTTAGGAAAATGTCACCCTTTACAAAATGACAACTTTAAACAAAAAAGTCTGATGCCACTTGATCACTGCAGTTGAACTGCATTGTGGGTAAGAACTGAAATTCTCCAGGTACAGATGAGTTGTGGATTTGAGATTATTTTTTTCATACCTATTTCCTTTCATCACATTGTTAACGTTGATATTCAGTGTTTCACGTCTGTCACATGTCACGCGAGCTCATGTGTCAGTCCATTAAAAAAGTCAAACCAAATCTGGTCTAAAAATCTGTCTGTTTTTTTTTTTTTTTTTAAGCATCGTCATGTTTATATTGTAGAACAACTGATTTTACGCGTTTAAATAGAGTGCTGCAGTTCACAGAGAAAAGCAGTGGGTGGCGCTAATTATACTGTACAGGTGCAGGTCACAACAGAAGAACGCGTCGGCTGCGATCAGGGTGACGTCAACGTTTGTTGGAGCGATGAAATCTCGTGTTCGATGCCCTAATTACACTTCCTCTGTAACGGTTCCCTCTGGTTCAAAACCAGGTCGAAACTAACGTTTAAAAATGATTTTGATCCAAAATATTAGTGGTGGTTATCACAAGTACATTCTTCAATGTATTTTTCCTGCAGTCATTTTTTTTTTTTGTCAAGTGGTTTCCTCTGTCAGTGGATGATGAGCTGCTGCGGCTGTACAAACAGTTGTATCACTGGCGCCCCCTGTCTTCTGTTTTATTTATTGAGTGTCTGTGAAAGAGAATTAAATGTACATTAAAGTTTTATAGATCTTTTAAAGATGTTTCACTTTGTTTTGATTCAAACATCCGCACGGTGGCGTTCAAGGTTTCACACAATTCAAATTAAGATCTGGAAATATTCACGTTCTGCATGTTCTGTGAAGGAACTCAATGTAGATAAAGATGGAGACCTAAAAGAAGTTGTTCAGACTGAAACAACAATTACAGTTGAATAATGCTGAAAATATGACAAACTTAATTTAAAAAAAATCTGCTACATATAAGGTTTTTGACAAATCTGGTGGGAAAATGTAAAAACAAAAATTTTCTTTTTTTATATTTGACTTACAAAAAGTTCTTTGGTGAGTCAGAAGCCTGTGACAAGAAAGACTCCAGTCAGAAACTGTTGTGTTTTCATATATATTTATAAAGAGATTGACTGGAAAAACAGACAGGAAGTGGAGGAGCAGACAGGAAGAAGATAAACGAGTATCAGGTGTGAAGCCGAATGGAGGTAAGGTTTGAATCCAACTTAAATAGAAAAATAAACTTCAAGTTAAAGTGAGTGAAGATTCAACTATTCCTGGTTGGTTTGTTTTTTTCTTCTTCTTCTGATCAGGATTCTGGACTCCAGGCCTGGAGCACAGACAGAGAAAAGGTAAAAAACCCTGAATCTGTTTGTTTGTTTTCTTAGTCAAACTTTTGTCTCACTTTATTGAAGACTTTTATTCATTTGGGATGAGAAGCAGCTGGCCCTGATATTAACCTTTGAAAAGCCTCTCAGGTGAAAAAATATGTTTGAACAGATGAAAAAAGTTTTGTTTAATTATGACCAATTATGATTTTACTGTTAAGTAACCTTTTAAACTTTCTGTAAGGGTTTTTCAGGTTTCTTTTTATTGTTATTTAGGACTGAAACTTTTTTTTACAGCTGTAGAAGTTTATTAAAATAAAAATCAAGTTTTTCATACGGACATTTTAAAAAGCTTTATTCCAGAACATTGAGATCAAAGATTAAAACATAAGTTAAACAAAAAGGTTTGGATCAAATAAACCGTTGATATTTATCTTTATACTAATTAATTCTTCTTTTTTAAACACACTGACGTCACATTTATTCACTCATGAAAATAAAAACAGTCAAAACAATTTAATTTTGGACTTTTTTTTAGCTGCCTTTTGTTTAAATTTGGTTTTTGGAAAAGTAACAATGACTCAGTGACAAAGAAAAAAAAACAAGATTACACAGAAAAAAGAAAAAAAAAAGAAAATACAAAACGTGACAAACTTGTTACATCATCGATTGCAACAACAAAAAAACAACTATGTTATTTTTTTTTTAATAAAAAAACTTGGTAAAAAATACTTTACTCAAACTGTACAATCACCAAGTAAAAAGTCTTGACGCTCATTTGGCTTCAGTGGCCTTTTCGGGAGTTTTTGGCTCCTGTGGGGAAAAAACAGACACATTTTCAAATCAATAATAACAATAACAACACAGACACATTGATAAATGTGTTAAAGAGTTTCTAAGAATAATTTAATAAAAAGTGGCGATGAAGAGAGAAAAACCAACCTCAGCCTTGTTTCCATTCTCAGCTGTTTTGGCCTTTTTGACTTTGGGTCCTTTCTACAGAGAAGAGAGGGGAAAATAAATGACAGATCCTCACTGTCACACACACGGTCCTGATCATGTCCACTTTAATACCAATATGTAAACTGCAGGAAGTGCGCCACCTGATGATTAACTGTTCAGTTTTTTCTTACTTTAGCCACCGCTTTTTTCTTTGTCTCTGCAGGGACAGATTTGGTTTTCTGTAAAGTACAACAAGAAAATTATCAACAAAACAGACTTGAGGTCACAAAGGTTAGGAACAACAACAACAACAACAACTAAATTTACCTGGGCAAGACGTTCAGAAACCCTTCTCTGCTGCAGGAAGACAAACAGACAAAAGTTAGAGACAGATGTGAGGACTGCCGCTCCGGTCCTCTCCGTTCTCTTCTACCCCTATTCTGTCACTCTACATACAACATTTCATCTTGAAAGATAGCGGGTTGTACCTTAAATGCTCTCTAACCAAATGTTTGTTTAAGCATCAACTAATCAGAAAATGGCCAAATCCTGTCAGTCACAGGTCAAAGACCAGACTGTCTGTCATCAGCGATTTAATATAGTTATCATTAAAAAAATAAAATAAAATCAGTTCTTACCTCAGGAGGAACGCTGGACTGTGTGGGGGGAAATGAAAGAGAAAGAAAAAAAAAGTTTTTTATCACATCAGCAAAATATTATATAGATATTATAAGATACAGGAGTACAAGACATAAAACTATAGACTGAGCTGACTAATGCTTTAAAAAAAAGAGATGATTTTAATGTTGCCTTTTTAAAAAATGTATTCATCTAATTTAAGACTAAAATATTTGTTTGCTACATATCGGCTTATTGAAGTACATCACATGAATATGTGTGACATTTGTTTATTTTATTCACAAAGAAAAAATACTTTAAAATGTATTTTATATTATATTATGTATTTTATACAAACTTTGTTAAACGAGTGTCGAACAAAGATCATACATATAATGATTTGATGCGAAATAAAAACTCTTATTAACAAGGACGTATATCTTTTACCGCTGCCTCTTTTCAAAATTTGACATTTCTTTCCCCCGCGCGAATTTGAATTGAAGAGGGCGGTCCTTCTGTTCTGACGTCATTTGGCGCCATGACAGCTTTCTTTGTTGTGTGGCCGTGTCCGCGCACACGCACATACACACACAGCAATTGAAAAAGATTATAACTGTACGGAAGCTGCTTATCATCAAAATACAACACGATTAAAAACACAACATAAAAACAAGTGTCACATTAATTATTTTTTAAAAAAAACTGTATCTCCTGTCACATTTAATTTCCAATTTAATCAGTTACACCAATCGCTAAACTTTAATGACAACTCGAAACATTTAAAAACATGTCAAAATTAATGAACGCATTAACGTTTAAACGCAACAACCAAGTACAATCGTGTTCACATCTATTTTTTCGAATAAACACCAATAGAAGCCCACCCCCTTCATGTTATTTTGCAGCAGTTTTCTGCTGTAAATGTATTTTAACTATTTTTCCAATGATTGCATGTTTATTTTTCCACAACGAAACACATTAACTTAGTGTATAATCACGTCGTTTATTTTCAGCTGAGGATTTTCCCTCCTTCGGTAGAAAACGCGCAGACTGTCTAAAAATTGCATCACTTAACAGTTCGGTGGTTTCCTCGAGTGCACAAGTTAAAATTTATTTATTTTGATAAGTTTTAAAATTTCACCCGAGGCTGTAATAATCTAGTCTTCATGTGTCTATAACTATGAGTAACGCTCTGCTCCGACTGTCGGCCATAGCTGTCAACGACGATGACGTTTCGCTGATGCACCAAACACCGAACGTTTCCCTCCTTTAAACGAAAACACAGCGCTACTTTATTTAAGAACGAAAAAATAATAAACAAATATTCATACCTTGGATTTGACCATTGTTCCGACGGAAAATGGAAAAAACGACTCGGTGAAAAAATAACCTAGTGTAAATGGATTTTCCCTCCTCTTTTCTTGGAGCAGAATGAACAATAACTGACTGCTACAGTAAAATGGCGAGGGTTTAAAACAAACCCCTATTTTAGAGCCGTAAACCAAACTGAAAGAGAAGAACCAGACTGGTTTCAACCAGTTCTCTATTTAGACGCCTGTCATTGGACAAGAATCGTCACATGACCATTGTACCTCCTTTTTTGTTACCGAGGCAGCTGTCAGGCCGCCATGGTGGTTACGGAGGAAAATATCCTTCACAATTTCCCCAAAGACGTTTTATCCGAGGTCAAAAATACTGCTTTAACCACTCAATCAACAAAACAAGCACAAACTAAAAAAGTTAAATGCATTTTAGGAGGAATTAGGTAGTCAGATTCAGTCCCGTGCGTTGCAGTGATGCGTCAACATCGGTGCAATGTTGGTGCTTGTAAGACCGACGTAAACAAATACCAAAACATGTATATTTTTTACATTTAAAAACAGATTTATCGGCAACCCTATCAGATTTAAAGTTATTTTTATTTTATACTTATATGGTGGCTAATGCCACCCACTTCATTAAAATACATTATAAAGTAAGCAATTGGTTTGACTTTTACTTATATTTTACTGTAAACAATCCGTTTATTTTGGTTTTAGCTGGCATATTAAATAATATCAAATGACATGAAACCATTTCTATCTTAATTTAACATAAGAGCCAGCCATTTTTCCCAAACACACAAGAACTCAGCAGCCACGACATAGAAAAATAACTTTGCTGCTTTTAGCCAGAGATAGGACAAGCTGAATGTTTCTCTGGTAACATCCAGTATCTTTAAAGATGCTACAAAATGCAAACAGTTCCCTCAGTTTTTAATGGGAGGGATTCTAGTGTCACAACCAGGCTTTTGTCAGCAGCACTGTTTTCATTGTTGCTGCCGTGCAGGTCTGACTAAATCCAAAAAAGTTTTTAAATTTTTAAAATGAGAAAAAGAGCAGGATGTTTACATTTTGCTTTCACATTGATGGGTTTTTACAAACACAACAAAATGATTTACTCGATGAAAACTGATGTGTAAAAAATCAATGATTTCCTGTTGCAGTATGAAGGTCTTTTAAAGTTATTTCATAAATTGTTTTTGACATTGATGACAAATCTTTTTTTTTAAATACTCTCATTTTGAAATTACTGCCATTCATCTGTAAAGTTTTTATTCTTATATATTTAGTCATGATTTCACGGCGTATCTTCTTCTCCAGTGAAGTCCTCTCTAGGGAGGAGGTGATGATGATGAGAAAGATGTAGAAGATGTAGTTTCAGTTTTTTTTTTTTTTTTTATCCTAACTGTCCTAGGCTGTTGTTGCCTCGATGCACAAGTCGTGAAAAAACAAGTCTCTTTTGTGCTTCAGTGCTGTAAGAAAGTTTTGTACTCGCTCCTCGCGACAGGTGATGTAGTGCAGCAGTGCCTCTTGTCTGGTATGGGCGTCTGTAGGTTTTCCATTCCCATGGTGCTGTAACTCTTCTGCTGTGCACAGACGGTCTGCCTCCAGCTGTAGTGAGGCCTGGTGTTCTCGATGCAATTCTCTGGCTTTCTGTGGAAAAAAATGTTTTGCAGGGATTGTTTTTAAGCCAAAGTTTGTGTCAAAATCTTTCAAAATGTTCCTTTAGAATTCTGATTCTTGAAGCTTGTGAAGCTAAGTGAACTAAAGTTGACGTTAGCACATGCTAATGGGAAAGTGTTTGGCCAGGCCACTGTATTATGGCAGAATGGGGCTGTGAGGTTATCCATCAATCACTCCATCAATCAATGATAATCAATATTTTATCCAAAGTTTTTGGTTCAATTGAAGACATTTCTCCTTCTCGCCTCTTGGATGAGAGATGAATGAGACCCAGTAGAAATCCTTCGTGGTCATTTAGTCCAATCCTTAGCAGGCGTTATTTACGAACAACTGAGAGTTGAGAGAAACTGTGTGTTGTTATTGTTGTTACCTGTATAGATTTGTGGTTGAGCTGATACTGGAGGATGGCCTCGCACAGATTCCAGAAGGAATATTCAGGCCAGAGAACTGACTGGAAAACCAGACAGGAGTGGGAAGTCTGGAAAACAGACACAGAGAGGCAGAAAAATGGTTTAGAAACCTAATCCAAAAACACTTTATATTTTTAAACCCATTAGAAGAATGTTTGTTTAATAACATCCTTTTTTCTACTTCTATCATTTGAATCCAGAACAGCTGGTCACAAACAAATCAAATAAATACCATCACAGCTGAAACTGACAGAAGATCATCCAAACACTAACCTTTAAACTGGACAGACATGCACGTGAACACACTCGAACAGAGATGCAGACACCTGTAGACGGATACACACCTGCCACAGCAGGAAGTCACTGAGGCGAACTTCTCCAGATGTTCTGATGAGCAGGTCTGGGTTCGGAGACTTGTTACTGTACAAACACTCAGTGATCAAGGTCTCTGAGACGTCACTGTGCCAAAAGACAAAAAGACAGGGCTGAGAATGAGACTGAGGACAAACAAGTGGCTGTGTGAAGCAGACTGAGAAGTCGTCTGGAAGGAGGGCATTTACATTTGTCTCCTTTGGAAAGTGAAATAATCACACAAACAACTTTAGTCTAAAGGATGAAGTCACTTGTTCCTAGAAACTGTCCATGGTTTTACCTGGATCTGATCAGACCCTGCTCCACCCCCCAGGCCAGCTCTCTGACAGCGTTAGTCATCTCATATCTGGACGTGTAGGCGAAACACACATTTAGGAAACATCTGCCAGAAGAAGAGGAAGCTGCATTAGTCACTCATCACATGCATGAATGCACATACACACACACACTGTTGATGATGATATACAGTGCTGATGATGAGACATGTGACCCACTAACTTGTTGTGATTTTTGGTGGCCAACACAGCTTTGGCGATCGCCTGCTGGAGATCCAGGGGAAGCAGGTTTAAGTCTCCCAACACTCGGATACAAACACCATGTTTCTCCAGGTTTTCCCTGTGGAAGGAGAGCAGGAAGAGGATGAAGGAGTGCCAGAGGAGATGAGAGAAGATGAACGAGAGGAATAGAAAATAAATCCAGAGGAGGAGAAGAATGAAACGTATAATGATTTAAATTGTGATTGCGAGAGGAATAGAAAATAAATCCAGAGGCGGAGAAGAATGAGTAGAACGTATAATGATTTAAATTGTGATTTTGCATGTGTCTTAATTAAGACATCCAGGCTCAAACACTGCAGCGTGAAGATCTCACCGTTCCTCCAGCAGCCTCTCAAATTTCTGCCTGGCCAGGTCCATCAGACCGTCCACCTCCTCCTGAGTGCGTTTGAAGTTCTCAATGCTAAAGGCGTACACCGTCACCTCTGGGATGTTCAGATGTTTGCACCAGCGCAGAGTCTGCAGAGGAATGCACACACACTCAGGTCATCACAGATGACCTCAGACGACCTCAGCCAATCACTGTGTCAGCACACTCACCTCTGCCAATTTGTTGAAACCCTGTGTGTGACCATCTTGACGCTCCATGTTGTTAATGTGAGCAAACCGTCGGTTCCCGTCCATGATGAAGGCCACGTGCTTGGGCATCGGCCCAGCCTGAGACAGAGAAAAGGTCAACGGTCAACTCAAATGAACACCTTTTTGACAGGAAAGTGGGTTCACTTTGTGAAGAGTTTTATTCAACCAATCTTGTATTTTGAGGTGCAAAGACCTGAGCCTCTCAGAATGTGACTGTGCCTGTTATAGAACATACATTATAGAAAATACAC